GTCACTTGTTGGCATTCCTGCAGTGTCTCAGGAACTCAGGATTTCAGAAGGCTCACCTTCGTACCCTCCCTTGTGGAAGGCAGGTCCTCTGGCAGGTCCCGACTCCCGTCTGTCTCTGCCTCCTTTATGATCAGGTCCAGCTCAGAAAATGCCTCAGCGTCCTACATCGCAGCCCCAGGGCTCAAGACTGTGCCACTGAAGGTCGTGTGACGTCCCATCTGTCCCTGGCTCTTGATCTCTGGTCTCTGCCTCTGAGAGCTGTGCTAGCTCTGTGCCAGGCGCCGCTGTGTTCTCCCGTGGAGGAGGCTGGCTGTGTCTTTGCAGACCCTTTTCATCTCCCGTCCTCCGGGCCTCCCTCGCCACCCCCAGGACTAATTAAGGCATTTTCCTAAACAAGCCTGGTTGCATCTCAGAAAATGAATTCTGAAGCCAGCTGGTGAAGTTAATTCCCTCTCCTATCTTCTGTCGTAGTGGAATGAGTGACAGTCGGGCACCTGCAGCAGGCCAGTGGCCGGGAAGCAGGAGACCTCAGTGATTACATTCAATGTACGAAGTGGCCCATCTGTGTGGCTAGGCTGGCCAAGGCTTGTAACACACACCCCCAGGCTCAGTGACCAAAGGCAACTAAGGGTATTTTATTTTACTTTATTTTTTTTAAAGTTTTGTTTTGAGACAGGGTCTCAGCCCAGGCTGGCCTCAAACTTAACTAAGTAGCTAAGGATGACATTGAACTCAACAGGCATGCTAGGGGAATATTTTATTCTGAGCCCCGGCTGCAGCGAGTGAGTTGGCCCCCTTTTCCAGGCCATGGTACCGTGTGAGTGGTCCTTGCCCACCCCGCTTTGGCTGGCCACTGATCATTCTGTCCTTAGGGCAAATCTTCAGGAACGAGAAATTCTGGCTTTGCTGAACTTGATTTGGTGAAGGTGTTTGCCAGACTAAAGCCAAGATGCAGGAAAGGAGCCAATGTGTGCTGTGCCACTGTGGTGTCTGTGGTGTGCTGTGTGACTGTGGTGTGCACTGTGGTGTGCTGTGCCACTGTGGTGTCTGTGGTGTGCTATGCACTGTGGTGTGCACTGTGGTATACTGTGTGACTGTGGTGTGCACTGTGGTATACTGTGTGACTGTGGTGTGCTGTGTGACTGTGGTGTGCCGTGCCACTGTGGTGTGCACTGTGGTGTGCTGTGTGACTGTGGTGTGCACTGTGGTGTGCTGTGTGACTGTGGTGTGCTGTGTCACTGTGGTGTGCTGTGCCACTGCGGTGTGCTGTGCCACTGCAGCCCCAGCATACTTACACCCCACAGGTGGCTAAGGGGATGCTTTCTCTTACCTTGTGTGTGTGTGTGTGTGTGTGTGCACGTGCATGTGTGTGAGTGTGTGTGTATGCATGTGTGTGAATGTATGCATGCAAACCACGTGTCTGCAGCTGCCCGTGGAGGTCAAAAGAGGGGCATCATATTCCCTGGAGGTAGAGTTACAGCAGCCATTGGTTGCCGGAAGTGCATGCTGGGAGCCAAACTCGGGTCTTCTGCAAGAGCAGTATGCAATTAGCTACAGCTCTATCCCTCCAAGCGCTCAGTGCTCGCGCTCTCGCTCTCTCTCTCTTTCGTGTGTGTGTGTGTGTGTGTGTGTGTGGGTGGGTGTGTGCATGCGTGACCCTACACCCATGCACACAGAGGCCAGAAGACAATCTCAGTGCTGTCCCACCTCATGTTTGGAGACAGGTCCCCCACTAGGTGGGCCAGCTCCAGGCACTGCCCTTGGTGTCTGCGGAGCCAGAGCCGCTCTAGAAGCTGAAGCACACCTGGCTCTGTGCACGGGTGCAGGGAAGGAATCTAGGTCCTTGTTTGCACAGTTAGCACTCCTGCTACTGAGCCATAGCCCCAGCTCTTCCTTCTTGTTAACAGCCCACCCAGTGAGCGCTCCCTACATCCAGGACCCTAAATTAGCCCTGGATTGTACTTTGATCATGATGATGGGGTTACAGGGCCCACCTGCTCTGCCCTGGGTCCTTTGCTCAAGTTTTACAGATGTCCAATCACCAATGTGTGCAAGGCGCTAGTCCGCCCGATGTAGGAGATTCAGTTCACAAGGGGCTGAACTTGTTATCAGAGAATCTTCAGAGGACCCCACAGGAAACTGTTAGCAATTGAGGTCAAGGTCTGGGCCACCCTGTGCTCAGTTCTGACAGATCTGTTCACTGAAGCGAAAGAAAAGAGTAATGGGTGAATGGGTTGACTAGGAACCAAGTTAATAGGTGAATGGGTTAACTAGGGACCAAGCTAACTGGTTAGCAGGTGAATTGGTTAACTAGGGACCAAGTTAACTGATTAACAGGTAAAATGGGTTAACTAGCTAACTGGTTAATAGATAATAAGTGGATCAATCAGCTAATTGGTCAAACCATGAACAGGTTACCAGGTGGATGAGTTAGTAGTTGGTTAGTAGTTGGTTAGTTAGTGATTGGGCTGGAGGGGACCCAGCCAGCTGGGAACTGGGCTAACTAATCCCTTGCTTCACAATATCTTGTTCTCATTGCTTCTGGCTGGCTGGGGAGTGTGAACCCACAGAACCAGCCTTGTGAGAGACCTGCTCTGCCCATACCTCCACCGCTCACACACACACCCTCCACTCACACACACACCCTCCACCGCTCACACACACACCCTCCACCGCTCACACACACACAACTTACCTGCTCATACACTCACCATTTCCATGCTTACATAATAGACCAGTAATGCTTAGTGACGATGTGGGGACCACATCAAGAGAACTACCCTCTTCCCTTGGCCAGTGCTGCTGAGAGACCCCAGAATTGCCATCTGAGCTTCTGGGACTTTGACTCCTGATCTAGAAAAATTTGGGGTGCAGAGCTACCATCAGCATGGAACTCAGGATAGAGGCCCAACAAAGCCAGTTTCTCCATCTGTTGGTGTGGGAGAATTGTCTGTATTCTGCCAATCATATTTTAAATAAATGCTGATTGGCCAGGAAGGAAGTATAGGCGGGAGAACCAGACAGGAAGTAGAGGTGGAGCAAAGGGAACAGGAGTATTCTGGGAAGCAGGAAGCCCCCTCCCCCATTCCTCCCCAGATCACCGAAGAAGCAACATGTGTGCTGACAGCTGAAAAAGGTACCAAGCCACATGGCTAACACAGACAAGAATTATGGGTTACCGTAAGATGTAAGAATTAGTTAATAAGAAGACTGAGCTAATGGGCCAATCAGTTTATAACTTAATTTAGACTCTGATTTTTTTTGGGGGGGGGGGGCTTGCCGGACGGGACGGAAACCCCAACAAGCTAGCCGGCCTCCATGTTACAATCTGTGATGGGAATAGTTAAAATAAAAGCCATTTTAAACAAATAACAGCCCAGTTGGGAACCCCCTACACCCAAGGCAGGGTCTGATAACCAGACCCAGGGCCACCACTCACTCAAGATAACCAGCTGCATGACGACCACTGGGTGGTATATAAGCAGAGGCTAGATCAGTGTCTGCTCTACACATCTTCAGGATGGCTAGAAGGAGTGTCTTCCCGGGATTCTGACCTTCAGGTAAGAGAAGCCACTCAGGTGGCTTGGGGAGACAGACAAGAGAATTAGTTAAGGACTTGAGCGTGGCCAAGCAGGGGTAGTGCACGCCTTTAACCCCAGCACTCCCGAGGCAGAGGAGGTGGATCTCTGTGATTTCGAGGTCAGCCTGGTCCACAGAGCGAGCTCCAGGACAGCCAGGGCAACACAGAGAAACTCTGTTTCAAAAACAAACGAACAAAAAACACCAACCAACCAAACAAAATATCTTCTTATATCAACAACTGCTTACAGTATCAGTGTCTCATGTCACAGCCTCATTGTGGGCAGCCAAACTGGAAACTTCCAGCTCTAGAAAACCCCATGGGGGTCCTGGAAGCATCCCCTCCCGCTCAGTCATCGGTTTGGCTCGAGGACACTCGGGGGACCTCACATCCTGTCCCCACTCTGGTGGACACGACCATCCTCACTCGATGATGTGCTTTCTGCGGTGGGAATCGGGCCACCCCAGAAGCTGGAAGGTCCTATCTTTCCAACCCCTCTTCTCTGTCTACCCACAGTGCCACACAGGCGGGAATCCGACTGGAACAGGGGCCTTGCCTGCTCTACCACTCAGGCGTGACCGCAGGCTGCGGGAAGGATGGGGCGGGGCTACAGCATGGGGCGTGGCCTAGAGAGGGCGCCGTCGACTGTGGGCTGTGCAAGGCAGCAGTTGGGGGGCTAGGATTTGGCACGGCCGCGAGGCTTACCCTGCCTCGGGCGCAGGGGGCGCCCTTTCTGCAAACGCCACAAGACGCTGGGCAGGAGGGAAGGCGGCTGGGGGCGTGGTCTACAGAGTGGGTGTGGTCCGCAAGAGGCCGCGAGCGTCTGGGGGCGGGGCCGAACCGCAGGTACGCACCTCCTATTGGGCGGGCGCGTGAGCGGGGCCTGGCGCCGCTGTGAGGTAGACCCCGCCCCTAGCCCGC